CTACCCGTAGGAAAAATTTCCATTGAAGTTCAATGGGAATCAATGGTAAATTTGTAAATTCCATTCAAAACCATTTGGCATAAATGGAAAAATAATTGTTTTCATTTACAATAATTCCCCGTAGAAAAAAATTCCATTGAACTTCAATGGGAATCAATGAAAAATTTGTAACTTCCATTTAAAACCATTTGGCATAAATGGAAAAATAATTGTTTCCATTTACAATATAATTCCTGGCCACATATACTATTAGCCTTTTCCGATACAGTTTTTGCTTGCCCAGGTGCAAGAGTAGTGATATTGCCAATTAGGTGGTCGAAAATCAATAATCTAGTTTTACCCATGCGTGCATGTTGGGGGTACGTGAGGGACCACCATGGCAGTAGAGTGAGAGACAAGCAAGGTAGTAAGATGTTTGATTAAACTGGTGTATTTCATTTAGACGTTGAGCATTTTTGCTCAAAAAAGACGGAAGACGTATTTATGGTGATTACACGAAGACGTATGTATTTTGGAAGACGCGATACATTGAATATTGTATATAAGTTGTATATATTTAGTTCCTGTTTGTTACTCGTTTTGCTGTTTGCTGTTTATATTCATTATTATGTTTATTATATATGTATTCAACTACCCGGAGCCTTTTATTAAACAACCCCTAGACAAGTGAAAAAGCCTACATTAGAAGCATTGTTTGATGATTTTGAACCATGCCAAAATATAGAGGAGGCCGAAGTCATCTGTGAGAGTGATGTAGTTTTATCAGAACCAAGTGAAAAAAAATCTAAACACAATGATGAAGAGCCAGTGCCTTGGTTCAGGTACCTGAGGAACCAAATTCTCAACAAAATAATATGGATTATGGAAAAAGGCATGCTGATGAAGTTCCAATGGAACGCAATGGGATTTCCATTGAGTTCGGGAATGGGAATCCCATTGGCAATTCTCCATTTATTACCATTAATTATTATCAGTGGTAATTTAATCGAATTTTTTTAATAGAAATTGAATGGAAATTTTTCCTACGGGATTACGCCGCATACCTCGACTGGAGGCACATGAGTGATAAAATATCCATTTAGACGCATGCTAATATCGTTCTACACAAACAGGCGTCCACGTTTACGCATAGCCTTAACCATAGACCTTGTTAGCATTTGACCCCAATGACAGCATGTTTTGGTAAATTTGAACTACTCAGTACATTTCTAATTACAACGTCGTATCAATTTAAAGTCATTCATTTTCCTTTCCTATTCATACAGGATCAACTTTCAATAACGTAGAATTATCTCGTGGTATTTCCTTGTAATCTACTTTTGCTTTATATCCCTTAACAGTATTTAATTAACCTTCCCCAACAACATTACGAAAGAGAAGAGTTCTATAATCGTTTAATTAACGTTTCACATTTAATGGAGGGTATATACTATTTAGATTCACATATCCCCTCTCCCACGGTCAAATTTAAAATTCTATAATGATTAATAAAAGTGTAAAAATCGTAACGCAGGCAAGTTTTCAGCGCAAGACATATCTGTCAGAGAGGAACAATATAATATAAAGATGAAATGAAAATGTTTCTCATTTTTTTTTTCCACATCAGTTTTCGACAGTAACAAAAAAACTTTTAATTGTGACTATTGCCAGCACTTTTACTTCACGGAACGATGAAGCGTTTAAATTTGAATATTTTCAAACCTGACGCACACATGGCTTCATTAGAAGCTTAAATGTTTTGTTATTTTTTTAGTTGTCTTGGTTGACGATGATTCTAAATGCTTTTTTATTCTGTTGTAATAGACAAGTTTACGTAACATTTGTACTCGCCTGAGCGTTAATACCGGAAACACTTATTCTAAATTATTCCCAACTTACGTCATCAAAAATCTGCTGCCTGCACCCTTGTTACAACAATCGTCGCTGTAGGCATCCGGCCGCTTGCCGCAAATGCCGCAGATAAGACCAAGAGCGACGAAGAGAGTGACCAACAGGAGAATGGCACTAGCACCAAGACCTATGTAGTATCTAAAGGGTGTGAACTCCTTTAGATACCATTCTAAACGGTTCAGTGGTTGAACGGTATTTTCGTGCAGTTCATTAGAAATGTCTTGTAGAGTTTTTGTGATGTTTGAAGCACCTCTTGAAATTGCAGCACCTATTCAATTAAAAAATCTTTGCTGATAATTCAAAACTAATGCATAAAATTAGAAGAACAGTTGCTAAGTAAAGTATTTTTGAATTTCGTTGCTGATTTATTTACTAATTTAGCGTTGAAAGATAACTATCTATAACAGTGACGGTTCACTTATAAGAACTCAGCAGCTCTCCTATTTCTATTTAATTCGTTCCTTCTTCGTTTATGCACAAGAAGATTTAGATTGAATTGGGCGCTTCATGAAAAAAAAAATGAAGAATTGTATAAAGAGCAACAGGCATCTATAGCGATAGATATACAGGGGCAGAAAATTAGTATGTATAAATTTGCAGATAATATAGCAGTATTAACACCTAACAAGGAGGAGTTATAGATAGCTTTAAATAAAATGGAAGCGGTATTGAAAAAACAGTACTGTATGAAAATACAGAGAAGTGACACAAAAATACTGGTATGGGGAAAGAAGAAGAAGGGAATAAAAAATAGAGAAAGAACGAATATAAAGATAGGAGACAGAAAATTAGAAGAAGTGGCTGATTTTAGGTATCTAGGAAGTCAGATAGTCAGGATGGAAGAGGAGTAGGGATATAAAGCAGAGGATAGTGTAAGGTCAAGTCGCCTTCAATAAAAAGAAATCACTTCTATGCCCGCGATCGTAGAATTTAGAAATTCGAAAAAGGTTGTTAAAGGTGTATGTTTGAAGCGCGGTGCTGTAGGGATGCGAAACATAAACGATGGGCGCTGCGGAAAAAAAAGGTTAGAAGCGTTCGAAATGTGGTGTTACAGGCGAATGATGAGGATACCGTGGATAGAGAAGGTTAGAAATGAAGAGGTATTAGAAAGAATAGGAGAACAGAAGACTCTATGGAAGTCAATAAGAAATAGAAATAGGCCAGATAGGTTGGTAGGACACCCTTTCAGGCATAAAGGTCTAGTCAGAGACATATCAGAGGTAAAAACGGGAATTATCAAGTGTAGAGGTAGGCCAAGATTAGATTACTGTTCGCAAATAGTTAAGGATGGGGGTTGTTCTAGTTTTAGGGAAATGTAAAGATTAGCTCAGGATAGGAAAGGATGGAAATGCGTATCCAACCAGTCTTAGGACTGACGACTTTTTGATAATGGGCGATTCCTAGTTCAGGCGCCAAGGTGTTTGACTGCTGCGAGGCAGAGCAAAAAAACTTTTGGGTGTTTCATTCCCACCAGCTACTAATGCTGATGGACGGGCAGTCCCTCCGGATTACACTGTAAGGTAGGTCGGGTATGAGAGATGGGACGGATGAAATGAAGACAAAAGAGAATGAAAGATTATCTGTGGAATATGACTGCCCCAGTATTTGTCTAAGCGATCTAAGGAAACCACAGAAAAACTTGGACCAAGGCAGGTGGACCCGGAATCGAACCGGCGTCCTTCCGAATGTTGAGCAATGAGGTAAACCTCTAGGGTATGCCGCTTGGCCAAGGAAGAGGGTGAATATTTTTTTAATACATGTTTATTTCCTTTTAAACCAGAGGCTAAAAATTTTCTGGAACAGCACCTCCACCAAGTTTAGCTACGAGCCGCCACTGATCTAAACACGTAAAGGTGCGATCTTTTCAAGCATCAATTACACGTTAATCGTTTATCTTCTTGAATGATCGTAGGAAGGAAATATTTGTACATTGCCATTTCAAAACAATTTTTCTAAAAATACTCACCAGCGTCTTCAATGGATGCTTTAACTTGAGGCAAATGGGAACTTATGGTGTTGTTAATTTCGACTCTGATGCTTTCGAACGCTTGTTGTCCTTTAATGACCGTTGATGTTATGTTGGCATCGAGCACCCTATTCAATTCTTCCAATTGACTTGATATATCGGGCAACTGTTAATTTTAGAAATACTAAATTATAGTAAAACGAGAAAGATCTTTCGAGATATCTATCTGCTACTGAGAAATGCAAAATAATTATATTATGAATGTAGGTACTTCATGTAACAAAAGAAGAGCAACTTCAATACTTTCTACGCTTTCTACCAATCGAAAAGCAGAGTTATGTAATTGATCAATTTGAGTCCTACCTTTGGAAAATACCTATCAAGGTACTGCATGAAATAAAGAATAGGAGAAGAAATTAATTAAAATAAAACTGTTGGCCAATTGTAATGTACCTCCAATAATAAAGTAAATAAATATGTATCGGCTACTATCATTTATTTATTGCGGAGCGTACATTTTCAGTGTAATTTTAGAGAACTAATAAAATCTTTTTGAAACTGAAGACATGTAAGTTGAACTCGAAACTTATTTCCCTTTTCCTGGTAACTGCTGGTGAATAATGATAATTGTCACGATGCATGTATGTATAAGCCACACTGCTTGAATTTAAAAAGACAAATTAAATGCCACTAACCAAGTCAATGACCTGCTGTTTGTGTAACGTTTTTGACCACAATTACTTACTTTAAAATAACGTAAGAAAAATTGTGAATTATGATAATGATTCATGAATGATTCTCTCTAGACAAAGAACAGTTGATACAGTTTACATTAATAGATATCTTAAGAAATAATGAGTGTTGTTAAAATTACTTACACTATTAAAGTCGATTTCGGTGCTAAGTCGGCTGACGTTGTTAGACAATTGATTACACTGATGAATCGTTTGAGTGCAATTCATCAATGTTTGCAAAAGGTCCCTTTTAACGGCCCTTAAACCTATTATAACAATATTAGCAAAATTAGACATTTAGAATAATTTTTGTAGTTAATTTCAATACATTAAATAGCAACAACAATTTTTTCTCGTTAATTTTGGGTTATCTGTAGTGGCAAAAATTAATTCACTTTAATGTATTGAAAGTAAGACTACAAAAATTCTTCTAAATGTCTCATTTATACGTAGTCAGGCATCTATCGTCGTTATTGCTACTGTCACCTCTCGTAGCTTTGTGGTAGAGTAATGGTGCTTAAAGCCAGAGATCCGAGTTCAATTCCCGGCGAGGGCGTGACAGAAGCAACAATTTTTTTCTTATTAATTTGAGGTTATCATAGGTATGTGGATAATAAAAAGTTCACAAACCATCATTTAGTTGAGATGCGTTGACCTGCAATTCTCTCGTGACCGTTTTCATAAAAGTAAGTTTTGCTTTGATATTGTCCAAACCATTTACTATATTCACAACCTCAGTAAGCGCCGTCGCATTCGAATATTCGCTCAATTGTTCCAATACAATATCACTACAACCTGTATAAAAGGTGTTATTAAATGACTACCTAAATAATACTATATATATGAAACACTTTGATATTTCACAGTGGTTATGTTAAATATTAATGTGAAAATTCATTTTCTATTTATATCAACTGCAAATTACATCAGGTTAATGAAAAAAATTTGTTGCTGTTGTCACACCCTCGCCGGGAATTGAACTCCGGACCTATGTCTTGGTGCGTAATGTCAACGGGCTTCGGTTCGATTCACGGCGAGGGTGTGACACCAGCAACAAATTTTTTTTCATTAACCTGAGGTAATTTGCAGTTGATATAAATGGAAAATGAATTTTCACATTAAAATTTGACTACCTAATTATTTATAAGGAAAATGGTAAGTAAGGATGTATATTCTACATAAAACGTAGGATGTTAAATATGTTTTTGATAAATCATTTAATTTTTGATGGGTCGTATGCATTAGATTCATATATCAGTAGAGTAATGATTTTGTATCATTGTCTTATAGTTGACGAAGTGGGTGATTTTGAAAGTAAAACCCATACCTACTGCACAAGATATTAGATTAGATCATCGGTGCATCAAGGTTACAAAAATGCGTAGGTCGGGGAAAAGACACTCACGAATAACCTTTATTTATATTTTTATATGCTAAGTTATTTTTCTAGCTTAATGATGATATTACTTTTCTATAATTACTTACATAAAATACTCATTAGTCATTATACATAGTTATGAAAAACAGTGAAATAAATGTGGAAGCATTTTTGTTGTTTTTGAAATATGTTAATGAAATATTCTCGGTAATTTTACACGATATCTTATCCGTTTTCTCAAGCTATATTATCATGAATAAACAGAAAACATAAATAAACTTAAAATGATAAATGCACATCTACAGTCATCCAGCTTATAATATAAACAACATAATTTCAAATTATTGACTAAAAAAGGGAATCTAAACAAATGGAATAACTTTATTTTGGGATCTAGTATGGATGAAGATTGGGGAATGATATTCCTTTCTGATAATATCTTTTTGCTATGTTACCTTTAAAAAAAATAAACTATTATAGTAAGTACTTACGATCCAGTGTATCAAAGAGGACAGATTTGAATTCTCTGTAGTTAATATTAAGCAAAGTGTTGATTTGATTATTTGTAGCTTTAATGTAGGTGTCTGTATCGTTGACACCAGTTCTAATATTACTAGTCAATTCGTTGGTCCCATCTTGCATATACTGATTGCTCACGAAAGCACAGACAACCCCAAAACTGTAAAAACAAAGTCTGCGTAAGTTTTTTGAAGTCCCCAGTGTCACATTCATATTAAGATCGATAAGAAGATTTGACTTACATCAATAAAGTTCCAACGACTATTAAGAGGAGTGCGTAGACCACTTTTTTACACAGATCGCCCTTTTTGTCGAAAGGTTTTGATCGCGCTCCACAATTTCCACAGCATCGACAACAGCAGAAAAAGAAGCCACATAATGGCATGAAAACAGCCAAGAGCGAAAGGATTATCACCACAATCAGGACACCGGCATAATGCATCAGAAGGTTTTGCCATTGCTCAACCGGTGAAGCCATCACCAATTCGCCATTTTTAACACTTATGAAACCTATAACAAATACAAAATGGGATTTAATTGGAACGATTATTGACTTTTACGAAATTGATTCTTCAACATCATGTTTGACGAACAATCCGATCTGGCATCCATCCGAATTCTAATAGAAAGGAGTTCATGGTGAAATTCACAGTAAGTTCTTTTACTAAAGATTAGATTTTGCCCGAGTAAAACTATTTTTAATTAGAAAATAGTACAAATGGCGCGATAAACGCCATCTGTAATACGATGCTACATTTTAGGATTACGTATGCTCCAACAAGGTCCGCTTGTGTGGATATCTACTTGCTGAAAAACGTAATCCTAAAATGTAGCATCGTGCTACAGATGGCGTTTACTGCGCCATTTGTACTATTTTCTAAAACGCGCTGTTAAGGTAGCAGGTAAAAGTTGGTCTGTGTTCTGTCGGAGCTGCCTGCGACGCGCTGATGAGATCCAAAAAGATCGAAATCGCGATCCGCGTCTGGCAGTTTCGACAGAATACAGACCACTTCGAATTATTTTATTCTATTTCTAATTGTTTATAATGGACATAAATGTTTCAACCAATAAACAATTAACAAAAGTGTTCTAGTTCCTGGATTACTTTTGATAACCTCTTATTTGTATCTGCTGAGTCTTAGCGCCAGTTATTTCGACATTACAGATACGTAGATACAGGTGAAAGTAAACTTAAGATTAACTATTCATTCTGGTTCCTTTCCTTCCCTAACAGACTGTTTATGCCTTTGTAATTCATTTTTAACCGTTTTCCTTATTTCAGGTTTCTGCTGTTTCTAACTCTTGAAGAGATGATATGGACAGAGCTCTCAATCAGAAGAAGATTCATAACGTTCGTTTAACGATTCTGAAAATTAACGTGAATCATAAACCCATTTGATATCTCATTTAAATGACTAATTTTTCACTAAACAGTAACGCGCATGCATTATTATACGAAACGAGTGTATTACATTATCTTTCCTTGCTATAAATTAAAGACATTTAATTATTCAGAAATACAAAAATGTCACCGTCACACATTCTGTTATCTTTCATGAGTTAAACAGCACTAAAAGTAGACAGCGGTATTATTAACAAAATAAATGGAAATAAACGAGATTGCAAGTAAACCATGTCGAGTAGTAATGATAAAACGAAGAAAAAATAACAGAAATGAATGAAATTAATAACTAAAACTTTTAAAACGAAGTAGATCAGTAAAGGTCTATGTTCAACTCTACGGAGAAATGCGCAATAGAAATATTATTAGTAACAATGATGATCATTTCTCTGAATTTTAAAAAGCTTAATAAATACATTCTAAATTGGCTCATAACAAATTTATCGATTGAGACCTAGATTAGATTACTGTTCGCAAACAGTTAAGTATGTGGGTTGTTCTAGTTTTGGGGAAATACGAAGATTACCTCTGGATATGAAAGAGTGGAAGTGCGTGTCCAACCAGTCTTAGGACTGACGACTTTATGATGATGACAATTTTTGAACCAAGCGTGCGGGCTAACCAAAAAGCCTGGGCTATACTGGGCTAGCCTTGGGCAATCGATTTTTCATATAATGGTTTTGGGAGATTCTTTGTAAAACTGTTATAACTTTTGAACCAGTGGTGGGCTAACGAAAACAAAAGCTGGCTTAACTTGGATTAACCTTGGACAATCAAATAAAATTCAGTGGTTCTCACCTTCAATTATAAATTTTGACCTAAAGATGGACTAAAAAAAAATATGTTGACCTATCTTGTGCTCAACTTGGGCAAACAATAAATAGATTCTAAATTGGCTGATAAAAAATTTATCGATTGAAACCTAGATTAGATCACTGTTCGCAAATAGTTATGGATGTGGGTTATTCTAGTTTTTGGGGAAATAAGAAGATTAGCTCAGGATAGGAAAGAGTGGAGGTGCGTGTCCAACCAGTCTCAGGACTGACGACCTTGTGATGATGATGATGAGAAATATTTTTATAGAAGAACGGAATGCCATGAGACAAACAGGCCCATAGAAGGAACAACCAGAGACAATACATGCTAACCATGAACCCCACTTTATAATGAGTGAATTAATAATCAAGCCTATTAACTAAGAACAAAGGTAATATGTTTCGTTTTCTGAAGATTGACCAGTACCTATCTTATAACCTGTAGCTGATAGGTACTTAATTCTTTGTATAGTATGTATGTTATTAATAGCCTTCAGCAGAGATTAAAATACCATCAGGGTATTTACCTGTTGGTACCTGTGGTCTGTCTATTTTCAATGCAATGTGGAAGCAGAGTTCAGGTAGGTAGACAGAAGTAAGTAAACCTTGTTTTTAGGCAAAAGTTATGCACTAAAAGCAATTATATTTACTTATATATTGCTATCCAGGTAGAATTGAAAATAAGAACTCAACCAGTTTCACAATACGTATAATATGCTACCTAAAATAGAATTTTATCGTGAAAAATAATATATTTCTAATAGCCAGACAGTCTACAGTTTTTAGCAAATCCACACATTTAATGACAATATTATATCTATAAAAAAATAATCCCTTTTAGTCATCAATCTGATTTAATGTTTTCGAAATTATCTTTTAAGTAGTTTTTTTTTATTTTCGATACCTTATCACCTATTAAGTTGACTAAATACCTTTTTAATGACTTACTTGCTTTCAAAACGACTACTAGAAATTACCTCGTAATTAAAGATAATCACGTGCAAAATAAAAAAAAACAGGGCTCAATGATTTGTATTCAGAGTCCAATAAGACGAATTGTTATGATATCTACTTGGTTCTCCTTATGACATTATTGTATTCTAACTTTATGACAACATGAGCTAGGGCTAAATGGTTCCTAACAGCGTTCAGAGGCCAGTAAGATGAGAACACAAAATAAGACGGTCAGGAAGGGTCTCCGTTTCCCGGTTGCTTTTTCTTTGATAAACTTTATCAGTGGGCTAAGAATGTACGTATTAGCCATGGATACTAAAACTTAAAAAAAGTCCCATTTTTTCTCATACAATGGAGTTGGAAGCGACGATCAGGCGTACTTGCCAGGAACACCTTCCACTACGTTTATTCCTTCGCTTTCGTTGTATGGTTCATTGAACATGGCACTTTTTTCCTTTTCGTACATTTCCTTTATGGTTTCGAATGAGTGCAGCCATCGCGATAACCGTTGCTCCACGCCTTGGCAGCGTCAGCACAGCATCAAGTGGTTGCTCTGTAGTTTGTGGAGGTGCCTTTTGTACAATCGTCAATCGATGACACTGCAGAATCTCTAACGTTCGTGGAATAATAAAATGAGTGTAATGAAGCGTGTACGTCCGGGTTGACAAGCGGTCTGTGATTGTAAAGCAATTATTGGCTTTGGAAATAGAAAATACAGAATGGAGTTGTTTATTTTTGAGGCAGAAGTGATGATTGTGAATGAAAAGTTGCGCAAATGCTGTTTCAAATAAAGAACAAGAATAGTTTCACCATAATTGAAAGATTAATGGAAACAATCTGCAATGCTTTTGTGACAAATATTTACTATCGTCATCATACTATCACCATTCAGAATATGATTACATAGATAAGATTTGAAGATACCTGACGCATCAGCATTGCTATCTACTATTAAATAAGGGGATATTTTCCGTCGGCACCATTAAAACAAAGCACAGTTATAAAATTTATACCTACTCTAAGCTGAAAAGTTTTTTTTGAAATTTTTAGCATTTCCCTTGAAGTTACAATTATTGGTGGTTTACCGTAGCATGCTTTCGATTCGAATATTTTGCGCTAGAGGTCATTTTGGTGTATTGAAATATAAGTCATTAATTGCTACGTGAAAATAGTGTTACAAAATTGCTGCTATTACAAGGTTGAAAACAAGAAACATTCAAATTATAAATGTTAATAAAATATAACATTAAACTATACACTCGGCACAACTTATGTAGGAAACGACCACTTTACTAAGCGCATCCGTAAATATTACAACTATAAATAAACAAGCAGAAATGAACCGCATATTATGCAATTACCCACACAAGTGCCTTTAGATTTGACCCAGATTGTTGTATGTACATTGGGCTTAAAAGTATGCAAAACAGATAGCGTTACAGACTGTCAGGTGTTCGCAAACATAAACATGTTATTTTATAAGTGCATCACATCAATATCTTGTAATGCTCATTCGTATGCTGAAAAACTGGTTACTTACAACGTGAATACTGTTATGTCTTTTGAGAATTTAACAAATTAATATACCACTAGGTATAGAATTGGTGATGATGGTCAATACCGATGCCGCGATGTTTAAAATTTACTGCAGAATGAATCAAAAATTTAACAAAAATGTAGGTCACATCAATAAATGAGATACTAATGAGGTTATAACCTAATTTGGTCTACTAAACATAACACCTGGTAAGTAGAGGTACCACCATATTTATATTGGATTTGATCTTCAAAATTGTAATCTTTTCTGTACAAAGCAGAATAGTGACACTTTTTGGATTATCTGATTTGATTCTACATTATCGAAAGAGAGATACCAAAACACATCAACATTTGAATGATGAATGATATGCAATATCCACAACTCAATACAAATAAGCTTTAACTGCAAAAAACGTTGCATTCATGTTGATCTAATGTTTTAAGCTCCAACCAAGGTTCATTTATCTCACGGATAATAAACCGTTTGTATGCAGGAACATCATGGGTTCAAAGTATTCAATTGAAGGAAATTACTTTTTTATTCAAAGAAACCATGAACCTGCTCCTAACAATGCCAACATTACAAATTAGACTTTAGCATTTAACGTGAAGTAATTGTATAGCAGATATTATGGAACGTTTGTTTTCGATCTAATTTGTCCACCTAAAAGGTTGTTGATCCAACTTCAAAGTAGGAAGGATATTGATTTTGAATAATTATTTTGTTTTTAATATTTTTACTACATCCATTTCTTATCATTTGTTATCAAGCTTATCTTATGACTCACATAACCAAGGAT